CCTCCGCTAAGGAAAATGAATTGTAGGTACTAATTAACTAGATCAAATAGCTGTACTGAGCTTCATTGTTACAATATTTTACAATTAAATCATAATCTTTACTTTTCAAAGAAAGGAGGACAAATTGTTCAGCATAAAGCCTTGTGCTAGAAACAGGGGCTCCCACCAATCGTCATCTTGTAACTGTAAGCAGTGAACATAATTTGCATTTTAATAACTTGAACATGGTAGCTGCCCAATCCTGGCAGGAGGATGCGTTGCTTGGTCACATTCTTTGGCGTGAGAGAAAGATCATTGCATGTTCACAACCTCAGATAAAAGACAAGCAGCTGCTGAGGCTGTTCTTGATCTGTTATTCCTTGCAAAAGGAAGAAAAGGTGGGATATAAATGCAATGTAACAACAACAACACTAGTAATGATATTCAGGAATATTCTGATCCCCCCCCCCCAGTAGTACATTCAGTGCATGTAATGTGATCTTTGAAGGGTACATCCACTCAAATGAATTCATTTTCCACCCAGTATTGTTCCATAACTCTAGAAGATGGAAGTGCTCCAGAAGTGTTCTACATGCTTCCACCACTTAGCTTAGCTGTGCAGGAACAGCCTTTGAATTGAAGCCTCAGGGATGAAGAATGAAGCAAACAGTAGAGCATCGTGTTTTGAGCTGCAGCCAGCCCAATGCTGTTGGTACCCACAAGCAGGAATAGAAAAGCAAAGAACCCGCTCTTATTGATACCTTGCAAGCAGTACCATTGGTTCCAAGGTACATGTAGCAATCAAGGGCCACCAGATGTTATTTAATCTTAAGGAGTCCTGAAATGCAGTGACCAACAACGTCCACATTCCCAGTGGCAAAACCCTGGCCCTTTGCCTCAGAAGTTCAGGAGCAAATGACTGGAAAGGTTAAAAGGACCCATCTAGCTTGTAAAACAGCTAAATGGGTCATTTCAAACTCTCCATATTAGTTTGTCACAAAAATTCAGTGACAAACTGCCAAGCCCCCACTGCTTGGTTACTACCAAGTTCAGTAGCACAGCAGGCTGAGTCTGGGTCATGGGAGGTGGGGGTTTAATGGGACAAGCCTAACTTCAGGTTGCCTCCCCAAAGCGGATCATCCCTGCTCTAAGTGAATGGACACCTCTAGATCTTGTAGCAATGAATTACGTAAGTGTTACTGTGTCAATACACATAGTAACCCTGCTACAGACCAGGACTTGCTTCCAAACTCCCAAACTGAATGAAGCCCTGGAACGCCTTCCTGTTTCTAGGGGACTGTACAGAGTGCAGGCTCTTGTGACAAGCATGGCCCTGCCTCCCTTCCCGGCTGGTTGTTCAGAGTGCTGATTTGTGGCAATCATGAAGTCATTCCCAAAGTTGTCTGGACTAATCTTAAGAAAATCAAGAAAAACAAGAGATTGCTGTTTGTTGTTTAAAGGTACAAACTAGCTACAAGCCTCCCTCCAAAAATGGAAACTGAGACTGGAGGTACAGATAACACAAGACAAGTTAAGGTGGGGAGAAGCAGAATTTAAATTAGAAAAATCTGTCCCAATACTAACTGGAGGAATATTTCCATGTAGCCTCAGTTACACAATGTATGAAAATACAAAACACTTCCTTTTATCCAAACCTAAGATTTGAGAATTTGCTCAGCTATAGAGCCAGTGTGGTGTAGTGGTTAGAGTGCTGGACTTAGAAGAGACAGGTTCTACTCCCCACTTGGCCAAGAACCTTACAGGGCAGCTTTGGGCCAGACACTGAATCACAGCCTGACCTACCTCATTTACGGGGTGAGGATCAATTAGTGAGGAGGATTGGGTCCTTGCAGAAAAAAGGTGGAATATAGATATAATAAATACAATAAATAGGAATGTGAACCCAAAGACACGCTTGTATCATGGAAGCACAAAGAAGCAGCATCCTTCAGATTCAGGCAGCATCACATGTGAGGTCATAATCACCCTTACCTTCCTCTTGAAACTAACAGAACAGCAAAGTCAGGGCTCACAATCTCTGGAATGCCTCCTAACCCTTAATATTAAAGTAGAAGCTGTAAGATAGACATCCTCAACCTGGATCCCCCATATTTATTTATTTATTTAGAAAATTTCTATGCCGCCCCATTCGCCGAAGCCTCGGGGTGGCTCACAAAACATCAATTAAAATATAATACACTAAAAATATAAAATGAATTAACAATATCCCACTACAGATCACTGGATGAGCAGCTTGGGGGACAATGGGGGATGTAGCCTAATTCACCTGGAAGGTCCCAGAAGGCTATCCTAACTTCCTAAAAGGGACTGCTGGGACAAAACGTATGAGCCTCCCCTCCATGCGGAATTTGAACTCATGCACCTGCTTGCTGGGAAGATGTTCATGTTTCCATTTTGGACATTGCAAAAAAGCACAAGCACCCATTCAGACAGAGCACATGTGCACACCACCATGGATTTTTAGTTTTTTCTTGGGCAATAATTTTTGACAACTAAACTATCAGTTTGTTCAACAAAATTATACGATGGAAGCAGTTACACCCTTGTAAATATAAAAAGCATGATTTTTTATAAGAATGGTGCTTAATAGTTCATCAAATCCATATTTAGATACAAAACTGTGTAGCTGTTCAGAAGTTGACAGGTTTTGGCAAAAGATGCTGGGTGTTCTCCATCTGGTTGAAATTCAAGCTCTTATTTAGATACTTCAATATATCTCAGCAATTATGTGAGGAAATGGGGATTGATACAATAAGAAATCTTCCAGGATTTAAATGCAGCAGTCAACTGTAGTTTGCACTGAGGTTCTCCATGCCTCACTTTGAGTCTCATACATCAAACAAGGGGCGGGTGCAAAATAATCTAGGTCAGGGTGGGCAACTGGGGGGCTTCAGAACTTTTGACCAACATTCCCATCATCCCTCACCATTGGCTATGCTGACTAAACCTGATGGCCAAGACATCAAGAGGGCTACAAGTTGTTAGTTCCTAATCTACAAAAACGGTCTCCATTGGAGTACAACATGGGATGAAAGAAAAAAGATAAGAGTTTGAGAATGGAGAGAGTGGCAGGGACATAAACAGAGGGAATTGGAATTGACAGAGGAGAGCAGAGGATGAAAAACATGACAGCAGTAAGGAAAAAATGAAGCAGAGAAAGGGGTGGAGAAAGAAATGTGGCAAAAACAGGGAGAGGAATGAAGGTATGCAGGGAGGAGGGCATGGACGAAGGAGCAGCCGGTGAGTAAGGGTGACTTTGTTCCATGAGCCACTGAGACAAACACCTTGATTCTCTAGATGCATTGCAAGAGAACTGGGGGCTGGAAAGGAGGGACTGGGCACAGAGATGCAGCAACACAAGGCTGCCCGAGACTCTGTGGTTGGTCTCGACAGACATCGGCACCCTCCTTGGATTATGTTAGCCCAGGACTCCTGCTCTCAAGCAGCCACTGGCTGTGAGGAGAGACTGCGATGCAGCAGTAGAATACCTGCTTGGCATGCAGAAGATCCCACTGTCAGCATCTCCAAGTAGGGCTGGAAAAGGTTCCCGTGTAGCATCTGGGAGAGACTGTTCCTCAGTGCAACCAGTACTGATCTGGACAAATGGTCTGGCTCAGGATAAGGGAGCTGCTACCGCTACCATATCCTAGTACTAAAAGCACTCACAGCAGCTGAGGACTTGCCTTTTCCCATAGGATCCCTTCTGCTCTTTGTGATCTGGCAATAAAAGTCTCTTGGCAGCCCCACATCTTTTAGATTGACGGCCACCACTGGTTTCCCCCCCATTAGCCTGCCCTCCCCTCCACCAGCCACACTTCCAGGTGTGCAGTCTGCTATGCAGTGTGGCAAGAGAGATCTCAGGAATTTTCAGGCAGCCCTCTTATTTTCATTTTTAAGCTGTCTGTCATCCGGCAAATAAGTACATATAATTGCCGGCAAACAGAGATTCCTGCTCAGCAAGGACAGCTTTTGCTTATGTGGTCGTGCAGATGGTGGCTGTACTAGGGCAACCTTTGCTAGCCTGTTGCCCTCTAGATGTATCAGTCCACCACTTCCATCATGCCCAGCCAGCACTGCCATTGGAATTGTAGTCCAACACATCTAGAGGATGCTAGGTTGATGAATGCTGTTCTAAACACAGACACCTCCTGAATATCACTGCTCTGTTGAACAGCTAACATTCAACTGCTTTTCTCTGTCTGTCCTTTGCTCAAAGCCCTCCCTCCCTCCCTTCCTTCAGGACTTGGCCTGTGTGCTGTACAATTTTTAAAGGACTGTACGAGCAAAGCTAGCACCATTTCCTTCTCTCACATAGAGGTGAAGAACCTGTTTCTTATGTCTAGTTCTAATAATGCACTGAAAAAGAGGAGCATTGTCCTTTGGGCAAAGGACAACATCTGTGGATGACCATTGGGATGGCTTTACCGTGTCCAAAATGCCTTTCAGATGGCACTCAAGCCTTCCCCAACACCACAACAGCACTATGCAGCAGCTGGTGGTGATGGCTGTTGCCAAGCTTGCTCATTTTAATATAGCCTATGCTGCCAGTATGAGGAATGGGCTGTAAAAATGGGCATAAGTGCCAGAACATCAGTTAGGGAGTTTGTAGACTTCCCAGTCAATGTACCATCAGCTATTTTAGCACCTTGTTCGACCACTTGGACGAAGGACAGAAATCCTCTCCCAACTCAGGTAACAGGATGGCAACGCCTGCAGGAAATGCCTGTCTGTTAACAGATGTCAACTTGGCTGGCTTGTAAGTACAGCTGGTTAATTATTCCTCTGGGCAACCTTGGGAAGAGATCTGTGCAACCCTGTGAGGCCACAAGTGAAGGGGCAACATAAATATGTTGGTCAAGAAATAGTTGTTCTTATTATGAAGAATGCAGACAGCCCTGGTTCATTTGAAAAGAGGCTTTGCCCACTCACAATCAGCTGCTCACACTGCCCATTTGTTCTGGTGCCATAGAAATCCAATTTGTATTTTAGCTTCACTCAACATGCTTTAAATATAGTTATCTTTATTGAAAGGTATTTTACTTTTGGCTTCTCTGTTTTGGACAGAAAAGTATCCAATAAGTTTAACTCACAGCTGACGAAAGAAATGGCAAGCACAGAATATATCATCCTTAGTAGGAATAGTATTTTTTTAATCAAAAGCATTTTTATTAAAACTTTTTAAATGAAAAGCATTTTAATTAAGAAGTTTTTTTTTGTTGTTGTTAAATGTTCAAAAATGCTGGGTGAGCCTCGTTAAAACCCTCAGCTTTCTAGATAATGCATGGCTATTTCTCCTCTTTCCTCTCGCCCTTGTCTAGTAGTCTTGTTACTTCTTTCTTTTTCGATTGCTCACTTTTTCAACAGCCACACCTCATTGCGTCGCCCATAAGGTTTCATCGGAGGATCATAGCCATTGCAAAAATAAAAGTCCTTGTGGTAGATTTTCTCGTTTCCTATGGCAGAAGTCAGCTTGGCTGCATATTGCACATAATCCACTTCTTTGGCGTAGCCACCAAATTGCCTATAAACAGAAAATAGAGGTATTTGAGTGTGGTGAGCCACCCAGTAGCTGATAAAAATTGCACAGAAGGCAGCCTTCCTCAATGTGGTATCCTCCAGATGTTTGGGACTACAAGTCCCATCTGATGGCTGGGGCTGATAGGACTTGCAGTCCAAAAGATGTGGAGGGCACAACTTTGAAGGATGTGTGAAACAAGGGAAAAACAGAAGAAAAAATAACACCAAAGCAGGATTTCTGACAGAAAAGGGTGCTGGTGGTGTTAAGCACCATCACTCTGATGTGCTATTCCACCCAGAAGCAAGGTGGCTCCCAAAACTACCTTACAGTGTGTGGAGAGGCAGACTTGGGTCAGCTGAAAGGGAGTGAGACAGGGCCTACCCATGAGATATAACCCACTGGGATGTTCCTATGGGCAACCCCCTGAAATGAAGAGGAACTGTGCACATGGGAATGGTAGTGCCCTGCTCATCCTAAAGGACTCTGCACTAGAAGCCTGCCGGCCTGCTGGAGGGGGCACCTGATTGTTTTCCTGCTTGTGAGCAGCCTTTTCCCCAAATATGATAGTCTTAGCACATTGAATAGACCTATGGTAGGGAGAAAGACCTGATCAGAGCTGGCTCAGGATCATTTGCTGCCTGAGGACAACGTGATGCCCCACACTCCATTCTATGTACAGAAGGTGACTTGACTTGCAGTTGAATCTAACTTCAGTGCTGGCTGGGGGACAGCATTTGTCAACACACCGGAAGACCAGCTTACGCTAGTTTAGGGGGAACAGGACAGGCTGTCCTACAAGCGAGGGGGAAGAAGCACAGAAGAAATGGCTGGGAGGCTGTCACTGCTGCCTCCCAGAACCTGCCTCCCAAGAAGGCTGCCTTCCTCTGCATGTTGGTAGGGCTGGCCTGAGACTAGAGACAGGTGGCTATAAAATTCTGTCTCTTGTGGTCAACCTAGACATGGCATTTGGGGAGTTACAACTGGATCTCTCACTGCTTTTATAAGGTTCCAAAGCAGCTGTGGAGGTGTTGGAGGTGAATCCAAGCAAGACTGTGATGTTGCCCTTTTTCCTCATCCCATTTTCCTAAGGGAAATCCACACCTGTAAGGGAGCTACTGGCCTCATGGAGCATTAATAGGGGTGATCTGAATGAGGAAACTGTGGTAGTGAAAGGACTGACTGCCAGCCCCCTAGAATCAGATTTCCGGTCAGATTTGGAGGCCCAGACGGAAGCTGGTATTAAACTAAAACAACAGAGGAAAATCTGGGCACAGATCTTCCAATAGCACACCTAGTTAAGTCCTGCGCAGGGAGATGAGGAGGGTAAAATTAGATCCTTTTCAACTGTGTGATTTTGCAATAATGTCTTAAGCAACACCTTAAAAGCTCATTAGCCCATCAAAGAAATGTAGATAATAGCTCATGTAGGAAACCTTATGAAATTCAGGACCATGATCAAGAAGGAAAACCAATCTCTAACTTTTAACTTATGACTTTTCATTTCACTGGATTAATCAAACAACAAATCCAACTCGTTCTTCATTATGGGGAAAGAAAAAGTGAAAAGAGATTGGTGGGACTTTGGTTAAAAAAAAAAAGAGGAAGCAAAGAAGATCAACTCATCTTTGCTCAGATGTCAGACACAGTTAACATCAATATGTGTATTTAGCAGCAATTTCCAGAGATGTCAGTCAAGGGAAATTCATCTACCATAAGAAGTCCTTGCAGTTAAGACAACTGCCAGAGAGGGAACATTTGCTGGATAGCCCAACAGGACGTTTCATGTCAGACACTGAGAAGGAACAGCAGAGCAATGGCATCATATTCCCTTCACTGTGCCTATATAATTAAAATTACGCAGCCCTCACTTGGACAAAAAGAGACATCCTTTTCAAACTATATCTTTGACAGCAGAATTCATCACAATAACCACAATAAAGTTCTAGTTTTCCCTTGATACGAGTCTGACACCCAAAGGCCACTTCTGCTCGATGGTCTACAGTGTCATTCATCGCACCCCCACCAACCCCAGTGAGCACAAGCCTGTGTCCCAACCAGAAGTAGCAGGCTGAAGACATCCACTTTCTTTCAGCTTGGTTCAAGAGAACTGTCACACTGGAAGTGTCTGTCAGGGCCCCTGGCTGGGACCTGTGTGGCCAGAGATAAGTCAAGAGCAACGGAGGCACCAGGGCTACAGAACTTCGGGCAAGACAGAGTCCAAAAGAGGGGCATAATGGGAAGCCCAAATCATAGTCATGCTACAAGCTGAGGTCAAGATCCACAAGAATGCATAAGGGCAGAACAAGGACGTGGTGAGGAACAGGCCAAGGATTGAGAACCAGGAGGACAGAGGTACAGGATAGGATAACAGGACAGGATTACAGGGCAAGAGACATGGCCTGGCAAGATACCTGGCACAGCAGGGGGCTCGGCAAGGCAGGATATGCAGCTGAGCGGGATACATGGCAAGATGCAGGAGACAGCAGGAGCCAGATGCAGCAAGGGGCAGGCTGGAAGCAGGAGCAGCAGCACAGCTAGCAGAGGAACCTGCACTGCTGAGGACACACGGCAAGGCAGGATAAATCTGGTCAGCAAGAGGCAGGCAGAACAGCAAGGCAGCGTGGCAAGGCAGGAACTAGGAGCAGGGGCAGGCACTACAGTTGCAGGTGAACCTGCTCTGCTGAGCAAGCATGGCAAAACAGGAGATACCGCAAGATGCAGGGGACACGGCAGGAACCAGAAGCACGAACAGTCAGGCAGGGTGCAGGCACAGCATCAGACGGGAGGACCTGGGCTGCCGGGGGCAAGGGGCACTCGGGCAAGGTGCAGGCACAGCAGCTACAGGAAGACGTGTGTTGCTGTGGTCAGTTCTGGAGGGAAGAGCTTCCTCTGATATGGCTCTTCCTCCAGGATTCCCACCTGGCACTCATCAGTAGGCTGACAGCTCCAGCAGAGCCTGGAGCCTACCCTGCAAACGTGGTGGTGCTTGCTCTGGTTCTGGCCTCCAGAGCAGCTCAGATCCTGACAGCATCAGGCAATCAGTTTTCCATACATTTGTTCGAGCTACTCATGGAGCAGAGCTCTTAGATGCTGATGGAAAACAGCTGCATACACACGGGAGAACAGTCTTACTGGCCCAAGAAACAAAGTTTCTGGTTCTCAGTTCTGGTTTGTTCTCAGCATTTAGAAGTCAGGGTTCTCACAAGACAGGAGCTCTCCCTGTCGGCAAATGAAATGTCACAAAGCAGCGGCAGGCAACTTGGTATCATCCAGATGTCTGAGGCAATAGTTCCCATCAGTCCCAGCCAGCAAGCTAGTGACCAGGGATCACAGGAGGCGTAGCCCAAAGCATGTGGAACATGCCAGCTTGCTCACCGCTGTTGTAATGGGAGGGACTGACCTCCAGCCATCAAGTCCAACTTTCCTGTACACAATTTGACCCCTGCAGCTGGCCAAGTACGGAGGCATCTCTGTCTTACTCACAACTGTATCCCTAACTGACTGTGTTCTGAGAATGGTGGTCAAAGGGAATGTACCAAGAGCAAAGATAAACATCTAGGGTCAAGTAGCTAAGCATGCCCCACATAACAGATTCCAGATGCTGCAGCTGTTTTTTCAAAAGAACCCCCTCCCCGCTTCTGAAGCTCTGGACAAAGGGCAGGATAGTGAAATGTCCTTCAGCACAAGGGCCAAATCCAGTTTTGGGGAAGCTCTCAGCAGCCACATCCCATTGTGGCAGGTAAAGCCATAGGCAGAGAGGGCAGGTCCAAAGACAAAAGTGGTGGGGCCCCAAATGCAAAGAGATGTGAACAGATTTTAGTTTACAGCACTTACTACCAGTAACTGAGCCTTAGGAAAGTCATTTCAGAATGGGGGAACAAGTGCACAAAAACTAAGGAACTGGGGTTTGGAAGAAAAGGGTGGGGGTAGGATGTGGCCATCTGGGTAACCCTACAATGCCAGACTGGTATCCTGGGAGAGCCAGCATGGGACCCTGGGCCTGAGGTTTCCCACTCTGGCACAGCCCCTGAAGCTCTGCATGCCCAGTTGTCTGTTGCACAAAGCTAGCTTCGCTTCCGAGAGGCTTGCCTGGGGGATTCTAAAGAAAGACGCACAGTGTACATGCTCCAGAGCATTCTGTAACAACTAGAGGGTTTCCCAGAGCTGCGTTCTGGTACCACACACTGATTTCATTATCTACCTCAGCTCAATTTGCCTAAAAATATGAAATATTAGCTTGCACTGTGCAGTGGGTGTTTATGACACCTTACAAAAAAGAACATAAGAGTTATGGGAATTTAACTCTGAAGTGTTTAGCAGTCCAGCCATGATAGTCATGAAATGCTGCATCAATAATAACCACACTCAGATGTGCAGATCTTGGCCACTTCTTCACTGATGTGATAATTGCTGTGAAACAAAAAAGCTCTTCTTCATTGCGGTAAAACATAAATGGGATGCATCTTTCTTGGGGAAGTGGGAAGTCCAGGCTCCCTGCTGTTCCACTGACCGTTGTGGTTACAGCTTGCTCAGTACTGCAGAAGCTAACCTACTGAAGAATATACCATCTCTCAGAACTGGCTTAGGAAACCTACGTGGAATAAACCGCCATCTCTTCTCTCTCTTCAATCCGGATGCTCTCATCAGTGGGTGAAGGAGGATTGGCCTGGAACTGGCTTGGGATCCGGAGCAAGACTTTCACCTTATGCTGCAACGACCCATCCTCTGCAGGGAATACTGTGGTGCACACTGGAGCCATCATCCCCATCCCAGCTCCTGAAAGAGAAACATGAATTACAGGGTTTATTTTCTTGAAACGTAGGATGATATATAGCTATAAAGGGGATGGTGCGGCTGCAACTGTACAATGAAGCAGAAGGAGTTGAGAGGATATACAGAGCTTCTTCTCACCCTGGTCATTGCTTCCCCCCACGTATTTGAGGAGTTTCAGCACTGCTTCACGTAAGGCCTCATCAAATGGCTTTCCAGTGAGCTCGACAGTGGCAAACTTCCCACCTTCGTATGTCCTTTCTTCATAGGCCACCTCATCCTGGAAACACAACAGTCAGATAAATGAATGTCCTCATAGATGCCATGGTTATATCCTGCTATTGGAAGAGCAGCTATCCCTTCAAGAAAGGCCGCTGAACACACCATTTGATCATCACATTCCAAGTGTTGTTTTGGAGAAGATGACCTATTTCATTACAATGGGGCTGCACCTTCTGTCTATGTATAGATGTAGGACAGAGCATGTGCTTTCTATGACAAAGTCGAGTTCAGTCCCTAGAATCTCCAGAGGCTGGCATGGTATTGTCCCCATGGACAATATTGATCTAGGTGGGCAAATCATCTGACCCAGGATGAAATACATTCCAATGGCACTATGACACTGTCGTTTTATAATGTTTCCCAAGAATCAGTAATGTGGTGTTAAATCCAATATCATGTGAGCAGACATAGCCTTGTGGTACTCCCCAGTTCTACTCTGTTGTCCAGCTTTTTTTAGTGTGTGTGTGGGTGTGTGGGGGGGGGGGGAGCACACAGGGGACTGCAGGAAGAAGGGCAAATCTGTTCCATCAGCAGTTTCTGTCCTGCTGGCAGACAGCCAGTCCTGGATCTAAGCCATGAAATTGCCCTTTTCAACAGCTGCCACATATGGAGTGGCTGTTTTCATTGTACTATCAGCCACCACTCCAACCTTACCTCAAATCACTTGTTGCAGCGAAGTCAGGTTTTTAGACTGTTGTATGAATTAGTTGTCTCTCCTTTCTTTTTTTAAGCAAGCAAGAATGTTTGCTGGTTAGAAGTTTTGTCTTGCCTTTATTATTGGAATGGAATGCTCATGGCAGTAAAATATTGATCGGCCTGCTCTTAACTGCTGCCTAAGCACAGTTGTCATTGCTCCAGTCAAGTACAGCTGAGGTGGTAGGACTTGATAAACAAGTCCTTTAGGCCTGGCCTCATGAGAAATGTGCCTGGGCAGAACAGTAGATTTGATAAGCTGTTGAGAAGAGGAGAGAGAGCAAAACACACCACATAATCTCTCGTGCTTTCGGGCTGCTGGTAATTCTGGAATAGTGCAAGATGTGCTTGCTTTCATTATTTCATGGGGTGGTTTGTCAGTGCTTCAATTTCAAAAAACTGTGGCCGAAAATAGTATATAAAGAGGAACTTGAGTCAAGAGAGCCAGTGTGGGGCAACATGCTTGGTCTGGATGTGTTTGTAGGGATCCCGCTGAAACTGAAGTTCACTGAAGCTCATGAGGTAACAGAACAGAAGACAAGAATCTGACCAAAGGCTATCTAGTCTAGCATCCTGTTACCAAGTGTGGACAACCAGAGGTCTCTGGGAAACCCCAAAGCAGGACATCAGGCCAATAATCCTATACTGCTGTCACAAATCTAGTCCCCAGGGACTCCAATCCAGCTCTCCTGGGTTCCCAGACTTGCTTCCCCTTTCCCCACCCCACTGGTGGTTTTTTTTTTAGCCTTTGTGCAACTTTTCCCCTCATTCTAAAAGGCTGAGCTGCCTCCTTGGCTTGTGTATTGGCAGTAAGAGCTTTGGGGCACAATCCTTTTCATGTTTAGACAGAAAAGGTTCTACAACTCCAACCAAAAAGCCAGCTGTAGGGCTTTTTCTGTCTAACTGTGTACAGGATTGTTCCCTCAAGCTAAAGTATTTTTACTATCTTGGACTTCACCTTTTGTCTTTGGTCCAACCCACCCATGAAACTCGGCCTGAGCGTCTTCAAAATACAATGTGGTCCTCAGGCGGAAAGGAGCTCTGAACCAGTGATGGAGAAAGAGATGGGAGCTCCAAGTGTAAAGAGCAAAGGGCATGTACAGGTCAAAACAAAACAAAGCAAAACACAATGCTTCCCTGCTCCAGGGCTTATCCTCTGCCGCAATTCTTCCCATTCACTTTCGCTTACCCAAGTTCACTTTGATGTTAGAACCACCGCTGGGATTAAAATGCAGGGAAAGATGGACTGCTGAGTTTAAGTCATGGATCATGGAAATGGGGAAGTTTCACAGGTCTCACCCACATGCCTCTCTTGCTCGGACCTGAGCTACTGTTGCTACTGCATCATCACCCTCTTTGCTTTAATTTTCGTGCTACTTTCCCAAATAATCAGGTCTAAAGCAGTTTGCAGCACAAGAGCAGCAATACAAGCAAGAAGACAATACATCAGTGCAAGGAACAGTTTCATACCAATCCATTTTAAAACTTAATAGCCCAAACCACATCAATAATGCTAACCTAATATTATTTCAAATTCCTTATAAAATAGGCAATGTCTATCCTTAACACAGTATTAATTGATATCACGATTCAAAGCCAAATGGTTATATAAGCAGCTCCTCAAATGGTGCCAAGTGTGAGAAAGAGCAAACATATTTTTTCCTTCAATGCAGACAATCACTTTCAAGCTCTTCTCTCTTGTTCTGGTGCTGCCTTTAAAGGCTTCAACAGAGATAACGTGTGTGTCTGTGTCCTTGTGCTCCGGAGGCTCCCGCTATTTCTCTTACAAATGAGGCATCCTCTTTTTTACATATACAGAACCACCACCATCACATCTAGCCTGACGTGCTCCCAACCTCAAAGGGTGACTGCGAGGGTGACTGGGAGGCTAGCCCACCCCACCTCTTGAAGGAGGGTGGGGTTGCAAGCATAGCAAACAAAAGTGGCAGGTAAGGACATGCAAATCAGCACTGAACAGAGTGCTAGGAGAAAAACCCACCTGCTGTGTAACCGCAAGTAACTGACATTCTCCTCTTTGCAAAAGGAAGAGTTATGACTTTGTGTAGCCGTAATACTGCTTGATCTAATACCACATGCCACTGGGCCCCAGCATTGCGTTGTTCACATATTACTCTTCAGTCTGCAATGAGTTTCATGCAGAGAAGAGAAAATCCACACATTATAAAACATGCCATTGTATTTTTACTGAATGGCTGTAGCCACAAAACTGCTCTAGGGAGCTATAAGGGATTCAAGAGATGTCCTTTGAGGAAGCATAGTTTGTAAAATGCTACACTGACATCACAAAGGTTCTCTGCAGATAGATGTGAATAATTATTTCTCCCACCAGTGTCACAGGCCAATTCCTTACTGGAATTAGCTTGCATGGATAAATGATTGCAGGCCACCACACGTGGCACAACAGCCTACTGGGACTGATTTAATCCATGGTGAGGCTTATGTATCAAGCCATCCCACCTCGTGTGGGGTTTCCTGGGTTGTGCAAACCTGGTGATTGTGGGTTAGGTGAGGATCAAACAAGCCTAGAAGAGAACACATTTAATCCTTGCATAGACCATGCTCACTCAGATTCACAGAACAGCCCCAAGTGGGTTTGGGAGAAGGCCTAGTTTGTCGTTTATCCACCTTGGCTAATACCAGTAAGGAACTGGCTCACGTCATACTTGTGGGTAAACTACTTATTCACAACAAGCCACGCCACGTTGTGTAATCCAGGTCATTGTGACTCGTATTTCCACTTCTCTATTTCTATGATCATAAGAGAGGGGTACTGTGATACCAAAGCCCACTGCGCTTACTCAACCCATGGTAAGGCAGAGACATGTATCGCTGCCGTTTTGCAACCTCGCTCACACTACATGAACCCGGGTTATGCCAAGTTTGCAAGACTCAGCAGTGGTCAAGTGGGGGCTGATTCAACAGAGTGGCGCATCTCTCTCTCTCTCTCTCTCGCTCTCTATCTCTCTCTTTCTCTCTCTCTAACAGGGGAAGACACATGATCTTCTGTTGAAAAGAACAGAGGATCCTGCTGTAAAAAGGAAAGTCCTCCCCACTTTCCAACTAGGTCCTTTTGAAAGTCAAGATTTAGATGGGGTTACAAAGTTGCCTTTCGGGGGGGGGGCACAGACTGCTTCTTTCAGGAGGACAAATCAGTACAGGGTTCGCAAGCACATTAGATGTTGGTGGGCCTGCTGGCTGGGGACGATGGGAACTGCAGTCCAGCATACCCAAAGCCTTCCAGGCTGGGTAAAAGTAAGAAAAGGAAAGCGAGAGGCAAGCCCTCTGAACAAGAGTGCGTGTGCCTGCGGGCAAGAACTGGAGAAAGACGTCCTGGGTCCGCTCCACTTCCACCGCGGAGGGAGGGCGAGGGACGGCGGCCCCTCCCCTCCTGCGACCCTCGCAGCCTCTGCGCCTCCTCTTCTTACCTTCTCCCCCTTGCTCAGGACTTGGCAGGGCCAAAGCTCCGCCGAGCCAAACAGGGAATTTCGGATCATGCCAAACATCGCTGCCTGTGTGCGGCCGCCGCCGACCCCGCCCCGCAATCGCCGCTGCCGTGCGATCCGTCCCGCTGCTCCGCGGGCTTCCGCGTCCAGCGAGGGAGCTGCGCAGCCCCGCCCCGTCCTCGCCCGGCTCGCCAGGCAGCTGCGGCCTCCCGGGCGTGGGAAGAGCGGAAGGGGGGCGGGGATCGCGCGGCAGCTGGATAAGCAGAGACCTTGCCCGGGGACCCGGCCACGGTCCTGCGGCCGCCAGCCCACCCGCCCAAGCTTTGTGCCGAGGAAGGCGGGAGCTTTGCGGAGCTCGGGAGAGAGGCAGTTTGCCCGCGAATGTTCTTCCTAAAACATAAAAATGGCTGTGCTTCTGTGTCATTAGCAGAACCTGAGAAGCAGAAATAACATCTCTAAATATTTCTAATATCTCAGTTACAGATCCGGTTGCAATCTTTACAGTTTATCCGGTTCAAACTCTACGTGATCGTTTCATACCTCTGGTCTTCAATGTCTTAAATTTCCAGTATGCATTTTATATATACTCTATATTCGGTATACAGTATCCTATACATAATAAACCACCGCTGCTACAAGCAGTGGCGGGCTGAAATAAAACTGGTGAAGCATGAGATGGCATGCATAGAAAGGCTTGCGTTTCAGTGCACGGGGCTGCCTCGAAACACGCAGGAACGGAACCGATTTAAAAAAGCTGGCTGCTGTTATACGAAGCTCTACATGCATTCACAAAACTAAGCTCTGCGTTCCAATTTGCATTTGGAGCTTAGAAAACCTTAAGCATTTAGGGCTGCTGTGTGTATTTCGTAATAACGTCTATGTCCATGATCTTGTAAGGACACAATCCTATGCATGCTTAAGCAGAAAACCAGCTTATAATTCCCGGCACCCCCCAGCCAGCGTGTAGGGCATTTCTCTGCCTAAACATGCTTGGAAGACACAGTGCACTCTTTGAAATAAAGAAGTACTGCTTGAGTCCAACCTGGTGCCCTACCGGTGTGCTGGCTTACAAGTACCATCCACCCTGGGAAGCCTGAGCAATGACTGGGAAGATGACAGAGGGGCAGCCCCACACTTTCGGAGGGTGCCAGGTTGGGCAAGAAGGCCTGTGTGGGAATTGGCATGCAGCTGGGGTATTGGAATGAATCCTATGTGGTGAGCTTAGCGTTATCTACCCGTTGATTGACAGTGGTTCTGCCGCGTTCCAGATAGGAGTCTTTCTTAGCCCTCCCCGGAGAGGTGCAGAATTGATCTTGTAATCTTTGTCATGCAAAGCACGTGTCTCTGCCGCTGAATTACAGCCCATCCCCCTACACTATAGAATTGTAGCTTTATAATGAACAAGTTATCCGCTGAAATATCATGGAGTAACTGCAATAATTACAGGAACGGATTTGGCAAAATGTGCACACAGACCTTGGAACGGAAGTCATATTCTAAGTTTTTCTCATTAAAAAAAAAAAAAAGCCAAGCTATCCTAAACTTGCAAAGCGCTCAGTGACATCAGAGCTGCTGCACCCACTGCAGTTGTAAAAGTGCTGTGGGATCATCAGGAGCAATGATTGCACTAATGGGCCCTTCACCTGAATATTAAATAGAAAACTGGATAATCACATTTCAAGGATCCAACAGTCTGCTGAAGAAAATGTGGGTGAAAGAAAACCTCTCAGCCATGCACTCTAAAACTGAGGAAAAAAGCCTCTAGAAATAGAGCAGAAAACTTTCTGTTAACCCCTTAAAAAATCTTGTTTGTGCCTAATTTTGTACTTGGCACGTGTGTAAGGCTGTTCTCAAGGCTGTTGTTCCTGGAAGAACAGGATATACTTAAGAGTCAAAAGGCCTGTTCTGACAGGCTTTGCTGAGGAAGGAGTATTTCTTCTCTTGTCAAGAATGTTTTGACATGACACCTCCTTCTGAAACAAACAATGCACATTCTGTAACAATCACGTATTCCCTAGAACGGGGAGGTAGCCTCAGGTATTTGATGATTCTTGGCTGAGCATTTGGCAGCTCCCCATAACAATCGCCCCATCAAATGGAGGCAAATTCTGAATTATAGGAACAAATAGTAAATGGACTCAGTGTCTAAAATATTAGTGGGGAATGAAAAACTTATCATCATCTTGGAATCTGCATGCCTGCAGGAAGGAACATTTCCCAAAAGACAGGAAGGTAACATTGCTTCCCTATTTCATCCAAATGACATAGAAGAGAAATGATTCACAATTTGCACCACACCTATACAATAGTGAATATATATGCCAAGAGCCCAATCCTATGCATGTTTAGGCAGTTAAATTCTTATAACTCCCAGCTGGCAGGGGAATGCTGGGAGTTGAGGTACATTTTCATTTCTAAACATGCTGAAGTCTGTTTAGAAATGGCACTCACACTTTTGTCCCACTGAAATCAGTGGGTCTGAGGCTGCAGTCCTGTATGCACTATAACCACTTACTTGAGTGTAAGCCCTACAGAACTCAGCAGAACCTACTTTTGAGTAAATAGTTATTGTTCCTATTTGATGTTAATGGGAATAAAGTGTGACTTAGCCTGTATCCAGCCTGTTTTTTCACAGGCATTTGTTACAATGTTTTTAGTGACTTATTTTTTCTTTCAAATGCTGCCAATTTTTGATGTTAATGTGTATTATGAGCTGCTTTAGGCACACTGTACTAGAGTCAGGCATGACTGGACTTCATGTCAAGGGGAAACCTTTCCCTTTCCCTTTTACTGTAGAAAGTAGAACATATTTAATAATAATATAATTTGTTACATTCTGAGGCCTTCACAGAAGAAAAATGCTTTTTTTAATCCATCCATGCAGTGAATTAGCTTTGGGAAGTTGCACTTTCTGAACTGTTAAAATGGGGGAATGACTGCAAGTAATAAAACAGGAATAGGGAAAAAGGCAGAAACTGAAGCATCTAAAGGTGAAGTCTGGGTTCAGACAACACAGTCCACACTCAGGGGTTGAATATGGGTTGAGTGTGGGTTGCCATTCTACTATTGTTGAAATGTGGGCTATCATGTGTCTGAATCCAGCTATGCTAACAAGTCATGGCTTGTTGATAACAAACAACCAGTGAAGAGAGCCCGTGCTTTGTTTTTGGGTTATGAACTGTATTTTATTTCGGCTGGGTTGAGACAATGTAGTAATCCATGTTTCAACAATAAACCATGGTACAATGGCAACCCACTCAACCTCTGACTGTGAGTTTTCATGTTGTCTGAAACACAGAAGAAGCTGAAAGTCAGACGATCTTTACTGAGAACAGAGGGGGTGTTAGGGAAACATACACCGTGATCGCAACCATGTATGAAACAGTCTTCAGAAAAACAACTGTGTTTGTAGGTCATTAACATAATCCAGGAATCCAGGGAGATCCTGACAATTTCTTTTTGTACGTTTGCCTTTTTCTTTCAACATATACTAGAGAAAGCTCCATATTGTGGATTTCACAAATCTTTTGAGAATATACTTTGTAGAAATTTGGTCCAAAAAAGAAGGGGAAAACACATACCCAAGAGGTACAGAGGAAGGAAAGTCAGTAAATATTCCCTGTTCCCGTTTCTGCTTGGATTGTTCCCAGAAGGGACTGTTTATGTATGAGTAATATGCAGAAAATCTGTTATTATACATTTGTTCTTTTCCTTAAAAATTGGATCATTTCCACATCTGTTTCATAATTCATGACCAGACATGTTTACATTCTCTGTAAAAAGCCTCTCCCAAACAACCTCTTAAGATCCAGCTTCTGAAACAGGTAAACTCAAACTGTGTGCAGAAAAGCTTTCAGGATCACGATCTGATTGTGAGCAGGGCAGAAGGCAGAAATGGTGTGGCCAAAAATGCCAGTATATTTTTCCCTAAGGGCACAATCCAGTGGGGGTGCCTATAGCCCTGTGAACTTGGTGGATTATGGACATCCAACTGAAGAAGGAAGAAATGTGGAGCCCAGGATCATCTCTGTGCTTCTCCTAAATGGCAAAACCCCAAGACAGCTGATTTTGGCTATCTCAGTCTTTTGCACCTGCTTCCAGGAGGTCAGGCTGAGGCACCAGTGCGTTATTTTGTATCTTGGTGGAGCCACACTCCTGTCCTCTGACCCTCTGGAATATCCAGCCAGCAAGAGCTCCAAGGTCAGGCTTGTCACCTCAGATTGCTGGGATGGTTCTTTCTGCACTGACTGCAAAGGCCTGGAGAGGGTTCTCCCAGTTCCATGTCCCAGCTTTTCTCTTAGAGTATGTTTCCAAGGTCAGAAATGGAACTCTGAATTTTCCTGTGGCCCTCTACATACCATCTAGAGGTCAAAGGATCATGTCCTAAAGTTACTAACAGGAAGTAAGTTTCAGAGGAGGTATTTCAACCCTTTAGAATGGAAGGAAGAAGTACAAAAGCTGAGGAGCCATGAAACAAGTGCCAGCTGGAGAAAAAGGTGGGACCCAAGGAGCAGGATGTAGCACCTTGGGAACCCCAGAGAGCTACGATGGGGCACCCTGGGCCAGAGCTTCCACTGCTCTGCTGAAGGCTTTGGGTCTATATGGGTGGCTCAGTCTAGCATGGAGTGCCATTGGTGCAGCCCAGAGTGGTGCCTGCAGGTATTTCACCTCCCCACATCTTTGTGAGTTTGTATGTGTTCATGTGCATGGATCTGCAGGGTCAGAAGCAACAGTGGCAGCCTGTCCTGGATAAAAGACAGAGATCCCTGAGATACTTTCATTTTTTGCCAGCTTCAAGTCACCATGAAGAGTTTGAAATATGTAGAATCATCAGAAGATATGACATTGCACACCACGTGGAAGAGACACTCACAGTAATAGTATTGTAAACATTTTATTTTAGCCAGGTTTTTTTGTTGTGCTGTTTCAGAAGATGCTCAGGAACAAAGGAACCAAAGCAAGATTTTGCATGCACTCTCTCTGCCTGGGGAAAGGTGCTAGTTCCTCTAAGCTCTCCTCCATGCTGCATACATCCTCTTTCGCTTCAGCGCTAGTCTCCTCAGCTGGATTCGGCTCAGCCGCTGACTCCTCAGGGCCTTATACCAGATGGGAAAGAGCTTTCTGCCCATGACCTTGAGCCGG